TAATGGAGAGCCATTACAAGCCTCACACTAGCTGTTTCATATTTGCCTCATTATCTTCCCCCTTGTGACTTATTAACACGGCTTGTGTGTGTCGGAAGCTAGTGTTATTCTTCATCAAGAACATCCCATGGGATAATATGTAGTCCCAGCCATTGTTTCTGGCGTTTTCTGCCCTATCTTTTCTTTTTCCTGACAATTCCAAACTTAACTGTAACACCCTTGCTTCTGGGGAAGAATTCAGAAAAGAAAAACAGTGTTGTTGACAATGATAAGGAATTACATGGCCGATACTGGGTCCACAGTAGGGTCTACAATAAGTGGGCCTGTTGCCAAAGGCTTGTGTGGGTGTGGATCCTGTCTGGTCCCTGGGCTAATGGTACTTCCTCCAAGACCTCAGTTAGCTAGCGTTCTGCTGGGTGAGGAGTCCGCGTCAGGGTCCACAGCTGGTCCCACAGAAAGCAGGTCTATTACTAGGTTCTTGAATAGTTGTGGCACCTGCCAGGCCACTGGACGTGACCCTGGCAGGCAGAACTGGCTTGAGACCGCAGCTGAGCCTGTGTTGAAGGACTGGAGCCAGGTTATAAGGGTGCCTCATGATCCAAAATTGGCCCACGGTTGGTGGGCCTGCCACTGGGAGTGCGAGTGGGCTTGCCCTTTGTTGGGTCCCCAGGCAGGCATGACTGCTCATAGGTTGATGACTGCTCATGATGGCTAAGATGTGTTGGAACCAAGTTACAGGGCTGCTTCATCATCCACAAATGGACCAAAGTTGGCAGGCCTGCCTCCAGGGCACAGATGGACGTGTCTCCTGCCTGGGACCTTGTTAAGAGAACTGCTTCAGGGCTGCAGCTGAGCTTGTCTGGAGCCAAGCGACAGAACCACTTCCGGATATACAGTCAGAGCGAGACTGGTGGGCCTTCTTCTGGAAGCATGGCTGGGCAGGGCCACTCCTGGACTGTGCTGGGGCGGAGCAAGAGCAGAGTTACAGCACAACTTCAAGATATGATCTTGGACCAGAGTTAACGGGTCTGCCTCCGAGAGCATGGACAAGTGTGCCTTCTGGCAAGTCCCTGGGCAGAGTAGAACTGTTTCCAGACCAGGGCTAAGAAGGACTGGAACTGTATCAAGGTCAGCAGTCCTTTTACCTAAGGCCCAGGTAGGTGTGACTCCTCTTGGGTCCCTTGGTAGATGGCACCGGTGTCAGGACCAAGGCCAAATAGAGCTGAGTCCACAGGGTGACAGAGCTGTTTCTGGGTCTATAAACAGGATCACAGTTGGCAAGCCTGCCACTTAGGCACCGGCCTGCTTTCTCAAATCAGCCCTTCTCAGTCTTGGACTCCACCAGGTTTTGCAGGCTTCTACCTGGATCCCAGAGCTCCCACAAATACACTTTTGTCCATGAATGGCTGCTAAATTGTTGTTGGTGTGGGAAGATATGAGCAGGGGACATCCTATTTTGCCATCTTGCTGATGTCACCTCCAGGCTGGTGAGTTTTTTCATTTAGCAAATAAATGTATAATCATGTCTTTAACAATTTACAATATTGTTTTGTTTAAATGATCTTTATATGCCTACATCCTATAATGATGGACTGAGTCACTGAGATTATTTCTTCATATTTCACTATCGAGGACAAGATGCAGGCCAACCCTGAAGCCCATGATGCAGGGAACCATATGTTTGTAAAAAGAAGAGCATCAAATATTTTGATCAGAAATAAAATCCATTGCCCTAATGGTTTGGAAAAATAAACAGACATTCTTTCTGGAGGATAATAAACTCACCCTAAACTTCAAATAATTTCACAAAACAAAAATAACTAGGCAGATGAGGAGACAAGAACACATAATAGCCAGAAGAAACATCAGACAATAGAGACATACCATATTTTACCATGTATTATGCACACTTTTTGGCCCAAATTTTTGAGGGAAAAATAAGGGTGCACATTATACATAGGTGTAATGATTACATACCATGGGTATAATAATCTTGTGTGTAATGTGCACAAAAACATGGATGTGCATTGTACACAGGAATGTGTTAAACATGGCAAAATACAGTATCTATATAAACTCCAAATACTGGGGTTTTTAGAAACAAACTATAAAAGAGCTACTTACTGTGAACACATTTGAAAGTGAAGTACATAGAAATTCTAAAACTGAGAAATACAATAACCCAAATTAATAAATCAGTGGATGGTTGTAACAGTGGATTAGACACAGCTGAAGAATGAATTATCAAAGTGGAAGACAAACCAGAAGAAACTAGTCAAAATGCGGCATGGAAAACAAAAGTTAGAAATATGAAGAGAAGGGTAAGTGATAAAGAAAATACAGTGATATTTAGCATACTAAGTAAATGCTCAGAATGAAAAATGATTTTAAAAAAAAGAAAGCAGAGACAATATTTGCAAAGATAAGGCCTGAAAATGTATCAGAAACTAAGAAAAACATTACACTATTCAAGAAGCCCCTCAAAATTCCAGGTAGAATATATTTTTTAAACTCTTACATAGAAACATCATGGTGAAACTGTAGAAAACTTTAAAAGCAGGTGGAGAAAGAAAACAAAATTCATTCAAAATAGTGATAGACTGACAGCAAACTTCTCATTCATCAGGAACATAGAAGCTACAAGAGAGTACAGTATATGTTTAATGTATTGAAAGTAAGTAACTTCCAACTAGGAAAAACATCTTTCATATATGAAGGTGAAATAAAAGACAATGTCACATAAATAAAAACGGGGTTCAACACCAGCAGACTCATGCTAGAATGAATTTCTAAAGCGAGGGTGCTCTTAAAATTATGAGGAGTAAGGATCAAAGAATATAAAATATATAGATAAAGCTAAATGAGTACTGACTAAATATAACATTTGTATGTATTATACAACATTATATAACAACATTAAATGTATTGTCATATTTAAATGTATATAAATATTTACATATATCCTATTATATAATACATTACAAAAATAACATATAATTCAGGAGAAGTCAATGGAGATAGGTGTTCTAAACTCTTTATATTGTCTGGGAAAAAGGATAATGCTATCAGTTTACTTTGAACTTTGATAAGCAAAGTGGAGTACAACCTAATTGTGGAAAATAAATGTGGGAGTTAAGTTAAAAAGCTCCTAGAAGATAACGTAGAACACTATCTTTATGGCCATGAGATAGGAAAAATATTTCTTAAATAATACAAAAAAGTAGTAATCATAAAGGAAAAGATCAGTGAGTTGATTATTTTAAAATAAGAGACCTCCCTCAGCAGTGTGGCTCAGTTGGTTGGGCTTCGTTCCACGAAGCAAAAGGTCACCAGTTCAATTGCCAGTCAGGGCACATGCCTGAGTTTCAGGTTCAGTCCCCAGTTGGGGTGCGCGCAGGATGTAACCGATCAATGTTTCTCTCTCACATCAATGTTTCTCTCCCTCTTACTCTCCCTTCCCCTCTCCCTTCCCCTCTCTCTAAAAATAAATAAATAAAATATTTTAAAAATAATAAGAGACCATTTATCTAGGGACTATCGAAAAAGTAAAAAGCCAGGGCACAGAGTGGTAAAGATATTTGCAACACATAACTAATGAAAGATTCCTACCTATATTCACAAATAAATAAGAAAAAGACTCATGCCATGACCCGGTGGCTCATTTGGTTGCAACATCGTCCCACGCACCAAAAGTTTACAGGTACAGGAAGCAGCTGACATCTCTCACATCAATGTTCCTCTCTCTCTCTCTCCCTTCCTCTCTGTAAAGAAAACTCAATACACATATCCTTGGGTAAGGATTAAAAAAAGACTCATAACACATAGATAATTGAACAAGAGATTAGAACAGAGTTTTTGAGAGAAGAAATCCAAATTGTTTTAAACATATAATATACTCAATCTCAGTCAGTAGAGAAATGTGTGTTAAAACCACAATGCCATGCCACTATCCAACCAACACACTGGATTAAATTTTAGAAGCTGACAACACCAACTCTTAAGGATATAGAGAAACAGGGATTTTCCTACCTTGCTGATGGGAATACAAATTAGAACAATAATTTGGGGGAGCAGTCTGGCGTACCCTGTAAGCAATCCTGTATGTATGGTCCAACAAAAATGTGTTCATAACAGTAGTATTCATAATGGCCCAAAATTAGACGTAACTCATCTGTCAACAGTAAAAGGGATGGATTATGATATATTCTCATAGTGAGTATTCAACAATGAAATGCTACACTCACAAGAAATGAGTAAGTCCTACTGCATAAAGTTGAGCAAAAGAAGCAAGATAAAAATCATACATGCTGTAGGATTCCATTTACATAAAGTGCAAAAAGAGAAAAATGGATACATGATGTTAGAAACCAGGATGGTGGCTGCCTCTGGGTATGAGAAAAGGGTGGCTGGGAGAAGCACAAGAATATCCTTATGTATTGTTTTTCTTGACTGAGTGGTGATCATATAAGTATTCATTTTGTGATACTCATCAAGCCATACACTGTCTGAGCATTTTTCTGTATATATTTAAGTTTAAAAGGTATGGCTCAGTGGGTTGGACATCATCCTGGAAAGCAAAAGGTCACCAATTCGATTCTCCGTCAGGGCACATGCCTTAATTGGGGGTTTGGTCCTCGGTCAGCGTGTGTAGGAGAGGCAACCAACCAGTGTTTCTTTTTCACGTCGACCTTTCTCTCCTTCTCTTTCTCCCTCCCTTCCCCTTTCTCTAAAAATATGTAAATAAAGTGTGTTAAATAAATAAAATCTTTTAAAAATGTAATTGAGAGAGTACTCAGTGATAAATAAGATTTATAAGGACTCAAATAAAAAGTGCTGTCCTCCTTAGGATAATTTTGAAGAAAGCTCTTTTTTTTGTATTAGCGACACAGGATATTGTTTACCTGTCCCTCTCATCTCTGCCTGACATATTCGATTCTCAATACATGTTTGTGGGATTCACAAAATACATACTAGTGTGCGAAATATGTTCCTGTTCCCAGGTTAAGAAAACGACAGAAGCCACCTTACAGACAATACAAGACATGGTCACCATCGAAGACTATGACGTTTCTGAATGCTTCCAGCACAGTCGCTCCACAGAGTCTGTGAAGTCTACCGTCTCTGAGACTTACCTGAGTAAGCCCAGCATCGCCAAGAGAAGAGCGAACCAGCAGGAGACTGAGCAGTTCTACTTCATGGTGCGTCTGTTGCCTCCCCAGCCGCCCTTAGGTCTGAGATCTGTGGTCCCCAAACGCTGCTTCTGGAGTCCCATTGTAATTACCTAGGGTTCTCAATTAAAATATGGACTCCTGTCTACCCTCGGAGTTTCTGATTCAGTCGGTCTGGGATAGGGTTTAAGAGTTAGTACTTTTTTAAAGCTCCTCAGGTAATTTTGGTATGCAGACACATTTAAACAGGACTGCACTAAAATAGAACTTTTAAACTTTGATGGACATGCATGTCACCAGGACAGCTTGTTACAGCGCAGGTTCTGATTTCAGTAGGGCTGGGGAAGGAGGGACCGGCAAGCCTGCCCCTCCACAGGCTCCCAAGTGGTGGCTGCTGCTGCTGACCTGCATCAGACCACACTTATGACCCAGAAGTTAAAGTGGCTGGATTTTAGATATGCTATGGCAAGTCCCTTGATATTGAAATTTTTTTTTAATTAAATATGAATCTTTCCTTCGGCAGAAACTCAGAGAATATTTGGAAGGTAGTAATCTCATCACAAAACTTCAAGCCAAACATGACTTGTTGCAGAAGACCCTTGGAGAAGGTCAGTTACTTGAAATAAATGGCAAGATGACATGGATTGTATATTGTATCGTGTATATATTCCGTGAAGTGTGTAGATTGTCAGTTTGGGCTTTAAGAAGCAGAAATAAACCATTTGTTTAGGTTTGGCTTTATCAGTTTCTGAAATTACCAAGTTCTCCCTGAAACTATTTTCCGTATGAGCTTGGTGAAATCTGGAGAGGACTGAACAGCCAACACACCCTGAGGCAGGACCTTCAGGGCAGGGGCCCCTGACAGTAGAGCGGTCAGAAGGAGCTGAACTTGGCCCCACCCGCTGAGCCCCCCCCACCCGCTGAGCCCCCCGCCCCCCCGCCCCCGCCACGCTTGCTTCTTCCTTCCCAGCTTGGACTTTTCCACCCCTCCAGCCCCACCCCTTTTATTTGAGCGGGCCAATATTTTTGCCCCATCTAATGCCTTTTTGGACTCTAGAGAACAGTCCAACCAATTTGGATGACTTTTTTTTCTTTCCATTGGCATTGGTTTTAATTAAGACATAATCTAACTAAATATATTGTTATATATGATAATATCAAAGACAACAATAATAGTTACCATTTATATAAGCCAGGCTTTCTCTGTGTGAGGCATTGTTCTGAGCTGTTTATTTAACTGGATACTGTAAATTTCCTCATTTTTACAAATTAGAAAATGGAAGAGGGGAAAGGATTATAGGCAAAGGGGACTATGTAAATGTTACAGTTTCTCTTTTCATCTTCAGGAATTTAAAAGGAAAAAATAAATATAAGCAAAGTCCCTGTCTTAAGTGCCTCATAGTCCGTACCTTGAAGTGTCTTTTATTCACACTAGATCCTGCTAGAAGTTATAAAAAGTGAAAGAGAATATGAATGGGAATGGGAAATGAGGAGACTGAGTTGTGTGAGCAACTCAGACCAAAAACAGTTTGCTTCTCTTTGACATAAACTCTTGCCTCCTACTGTTCTAGAACCTTCCTTACTCATAAAGAAGTTTTTCTATCACCTTATCTCCTTGTTTTCTCCAAAGGGCCCATTACCCTCAGGGTATGGATACATGGAGAAAGGTCATCATGACCTAAGACTCCCAAGTATTGCAGTTAGGATGGCAGATCCTAAGATAAAAGGCCAATTTCACTTAGAAAAAAATTAACATTTATTTATACTACTAAAAAGTGTCTTAAAAAAATAAAATAACCAAATGCAGTGTATGAACTTTCATTAGATTCTGAATCAAAAGGCAAAAGTTATAAAAGGCATTTTAAAGACAATTGGGGAAATTTAAATATAGACTATTAAATGATATTATTGAATTCATGTTAATATTCTAGGATATGGTGGTATGTTTATGAAGGAGAAGATTCATATTCATAAGGAATGCTTGCTCAGTTTCACAATGTTTGCAACTTGCTTTCCAAATGGTTCAGGGAAAAAGATACAGAGAGTTAGAGAAATTCTCTGTGACAAAATCTTAACCATCGGGAATCTAAGTGAAGAGCACATGAAGGTTCCCTCTACTAGTCTTTCAGCTCTTCTGCGGCAGATGTTTCAACAATAAAAAAGACCTTTTTATCCTTTGAATTGTTGTGCGACCTCAGCATTGGTGTCCCATTTTCCCCTCCTCTTTTTCCCTTCATAGTATTGGTTCTTTTTATTTTCCTCCATTTTTTACAAATACCTCATATTTCACTGATGCAAGTGTAGATCAGTACTTACAGGCACACAGCCCTTCCCTGCAGGACTGGATACCACTTTAGAAATTGTGAGTTAGAGGGAATTAAGCAGTGGGTGAATTCATTCTTGGCACTGCATGCAGATATGTGTGTTAATACACTTGGGATCTCATTCTGAAACTTTTATGGAACTCATTTTACATAGATACCCTGATGTTTCTAGAAGAGAAAGCTCTGATGATTAATACTCTTTTACATGCCATTACTAGATAGGACTGTATTTTAGCCAATTTAGGGCTATACCCATGCTCCAGATTGTCTTTAGCTGCTGAACTGTGTAAAACTATACTATGCCTTGTGAACTCTAAGGCAGGATTTCCTTATCTTGGAATTTCCTTCCGTAATTCCCAGTGTTCTAGTGACATAAGCTGTGCTCAGGTGTACCAGGCCTTCCCCGGACTAGATTTATTCCTCATGGGAAACTGGGCGGTTCCCATCCAGTGGGAAGGCACGCTGGCCTCTGCCCACTGGTGGCAGCGCTCTCTGCTCCCCAGGCCTGGCCCACGTGGAGGCTTGGCCACGCACCAGGCCTTGGCCACTGCCTGAGACTGACCCTGGAAGCTTTGCCCAGGGAAAAACAGCATAAATAACACGCCCTGCCTTCTAGCTCAACCACTGTGAGCCTCTGGCTTTCCAGGCATCAATAGGCTTACACCAAAGGACACTAGGAAAGTATGTGGCGCCTGTCCCACAGTGAGATAATTCAATGGCGAGCCCTTATGAAAAATCCAAGTCTGGGTTTGGCTAAATAAAGTAGTAGCACAGGATTAAATGGTGTGTTTGAGGACAGCCCTGACTTCCTATATAGAAATCACATCTCTAAATTATACTAGACTCACTACTCCAGAAACTGCCTTCATAGTAAAACAAATAGAGCTTAACCCAGGGATTTAGCAGCTGATCGTACACAGCTGAAACTGTAACTACAGACATGTGCTTGGCCTGTCCTACTGCTCGCTTTTGGCATGCTACCAGTGGCCAAGTCCTTTGATTTACAACATTGCTGAGGAACTAGATTGGGTTCTTAAAGTAGCACCGTCAAAATTTAGAATTCCGCATCTTTGAAAACTATTGAAATAGAAAGAAACATCACAAGTTGTTAAAAGCAAAGTCGTCGTCGTCTTTATCCTCCAGCAACACCGTCCCATCCTCCTGTGATAGCATTTGTTTTTAAACTGGAGAAGTTACACTGAGCCCAATAAGTGAACACGGAAATCTTTTTCTTTTTTAATAATGAGGTCAATGTTCACATTGGCTTCTTTGTGTGCCACATTTGGAATTAAGGGGATATAAATATCAGTGCAATATTTGCAAAACACAGATAACCTGACACTGGAAGCTGAGTTCCATGTTACGTTGTTTCTAGCACGGGCATGAGATTTCTGACGAAGGAATTAAATAGGTTATCCTTACGCAATCATTGTCTGTCTTTAAGTAGGAGCACAAATATACTTTCAAAAGAGAAGATAGTTGTAAAAAAAATTGGGTGTTTTTGTTTTTTAGAAAAGCCTGCAGTAATTGATATTAAGGGGGGAAAAAAAAACTGGGAAGTAATGCCAGGAGTCCTTATCAATCATGCATAGAGGACCTTTGCTCAGTTTGAGTTTTGCACATTTTAAATATTTTATTTAATTGGATTTTTAAATCTCAAACTACCACCAAACTATATTTTGGTTTTCCCTTTTATTCTACAGAGAAAAAAGTACATTTGGGCATGAAAAGATAATTGACTTCCTAATTCTCAAGTGAAATTATAATGAGTATTCAAATTAGGCATTTGTATCAAGAATAAGATAATCCTGAGGCATTTTTTTTCCCTCGAAACGACATGTATTGGGGGAAAGGGGGTAATGAGTTGTCTGTTGCTTTTAATAATTAAGTAACCTTCCAAAGAAAATGATTGAAATCTAATCTTCAGACCACTGGAAGCTTTCACATTTCTCTGGGAAGCAGATTCTTCTAAGCTTGTGTGTTATTGATCTATTAATGATTATACTGATTAAAAAATAAAACATTCATCAGTTGAGACACACTCAGTACTATTAGCTGAAAAAAACGGATGTGCTGGTGGCCGTTATCCTATGAGTGATAGTTCTTTTGCAAAGCTTGCTCTTGGTTCATTAATCAAAATGCATCTTTTATAGGTCCTTAATTTTTTATCTCATACTATTAACCATGGATGGATGGAGCAAAATGAATTTAAGTCATTTTATATATGATATTTTTCTAAGTCTAGAGACTATTTAGTTGGGATAGTTTAACAAAAATAGCAAAATTTCAAAGCTATAAAGCATTTCATTCTTAAGGAGTTATTAGCATCTTTATCACTGAACTACTTGAAAGTGATTAAGTTATGTCATTTCATTTAGTTTTATAAGTAGTTATTAAATTTGTTTAAAAATTTGTTAAATTTATTAAATCTTCAGTATTTTCTATTTAGCTGTAGCCATATGGAGCAGATAGAGGTGTCAGCCGTGATCTCTACCTTTCTTCTAGGATCTTTCCAGTTGTTAGATGGAGAGCAGGGGTGGGGGCGGGGAAGACTCACATTTTTACCATACATTACTAGGGAGCTCAGGTCTAGAATGAAAACAAACCTGGACCCTCGTGCCAGACCTGCCACAGACAAACAGCATGACCTAAGGCAAGATGCCTGTCTCTGATGTAAAATAAGAATAATACTAGTATCTACTTAATAACATTGTTTTGAAAATTGTGAGTTAGTATAGAGAAAGTGCTTAGAAAAACATCTAAATAAATGGTATCTATCATTACTGTTTTCATTGTTGTTACTAGTACATTTTATATCATACTGTTACATCGTAATAAAGTATGCAACATGACAATGCAATACAGCACAAGCCAGAGAGTTTCTCTGTCCTCAGCCCTTTACTCATTCCAGTGACGCCCTGGGTGATCTCAACTGGGTCCCTGGGCCCCAGCCTCTCAAATCCTAATCGCCAGCCCCACCCTCTCTCTCTGCTCTTTAACTCTGCGCGGCCGGCTTCCTGCTGAAGGATGTCCCTCAGGTACCACATGCTACATTCAGCTCAGCGCCTGCCGTCTCTGCTTTCTGGTAGACCTTCTCTCCCACTTATGAACAGGTCTAAACTATTCTGGAGTTAGATGTCCACCTTCTCTTTTTCTTCTCTCCCAAAGTGGCAGAAGGCCAGCAAAAGGAAGGGACTTACGGTTAAATGATAGGTAGACCTGGGTAGCAGGGGGAAAATCTAATTCTTCTCCTATCTCCTCACCCCCACTCCAACTCCTGCCCAAGACCCGATTCTGCCAACACTTAACAGTGGCCTGGATCTGTGTTAAGAAAGGTATTTTCTGATATTAAACATCACCCTGTTTAGTAAACAGATGTTAGTGAAAAACTTTATGTTACTTGTTGAAAAGGAGATGATAGAGTAAAAGACTCTTTTGCAGCCAGGGAGAGTGTTCATTCACCATTACTAATAAGCCAGCTTTCTCTACTATTGTTATATTGGCCTTGCCCTGCAAGTCTGAATCACGGCATTAATGATATGATGGGCTGGGCCCACCTGTTTGTGCTACAACATGACCGTTCACTGCCAGCTATATCTTCAGAGTGTTTGAGGGCCGTATCATCCTTTTGCAAACAAACTAGTTGAATGCTTCACTTTCCCACACCCCTGCCCACAGCTCCACCCTAGATATAAGAAAGAGCAGACAGCAGCCATAGACACATTGAAACTTGAAATTAGCACAGCTTACAGCAACACCACAAAAATATAGAGCTGTTATTTAAAACAAGTCGAGAAGTCTGAATGTATAAGAGGAAACTCATCTTTTAAATAACTGAGAACTTTTAACTTACAAGTTGGTAGAATGTAGCATAATTTAATGTCCTTTTACTTTAATATCTGCAAATGTCATTTCTGATTATAAAGTGCAGCTTCTCTCCCAGATTTCATATTATAGAAAGAACGCCAATTTAAGCTAAAGGAAATTGAGTTCTCCCAATCCTATATGAACCCTTTCTTTTTCCCCATGAGGTGTCAATCAAGACAGAGGGAATAACTAACATTCTGAGATGTGTTTTATTTGTAATTTATCCTTGAATGTACAGTTAAGATCAAGCAGCTACTTCTTTAAATAAACAAATCAATCTCCCTGCCTCAAATTGCCAAGTAAAACATGTTTCTACTTATTAAATTTTATGTATAGACTTTATGAAATATTTACTTTGAATTATTTGCCTGTAATTATGTGCTATCCCCATCTTAAAATAATGGACAGATGATACAAAATATTACTAAATGTATTCCACTAATTTCATTCTATTTCCTTATTTTAATTTTTTTCTGCAGGTCATAGAGCAGAGTATATGACTACAAGGTAGGAAAACATTTTATCCATAAATCACATTGTGTCTCACTCATTTTTCTCTTTAATAAGAAGCAGTCTTTGCACATACTTTGTTAACAAACATGGAAGATAGTTTGGCTTGACAAAACACAGTAACGTGAAATGTTTGAGCTTCTCCCAAAATAGGATTTTCTCTGGCTGGCAGATCTGAGGATTTCTCAAAGGAATTGTGAAGCTCTTTAATGAGCAGACTCAGAAAAAAAGACCTAATTTGAATGGATTTAGTTTATATAATTCAAAACACTTTTAAGTTTCTAGAAAAAGACCAATAAGATTTGTGATAATTTTATTAACAAGCAATATTATGTGCATATCTACTGTGTTAGCAAATGCAAAGTATGAATAGTTATGTCCTGTTCCTGCCTTCCCTCATGTCATATAAAAATTAGAGCTCTGTTGAATATTCTGTGGATTTCAGCTCTCTACCCCTTTTTAGTTTCCTTTAAAGATTTGACTTTTAATGCCTACAACCATATTGCATTGCATTTCATTTCATTTCTTTTTTTTTTTTTTAATTCAGAGAAGGATTTTGAAACTAGTGCTGAGAGAGAAAAACCTTTTTGGAAGCTGATTCTGATTTGGGTTGAGAAAAGTTTATGGCAACTTTTATTTTCCTGTGTCCACATTTGTGCAACAGTCACAAATTGCTCTAAATGACATAGCAAGACTTTACGCTTTTAAAGTTGAGTTCTCTTTGAGGTGAGAGGCATTTAGGGCACTGGTGTGCCGGCTGCAGTAATTGGCAAGTCGATTTTCAAGGATCTGTAATGCTCCTGCTGGGCAATTTATTCAAAAGGAAGCTTCTCTTACTTTTTGGTTAACCAGATAGGGAGATACAGCCACTCACTTGTCAAAACTTTACAAAAATATTGAGGTTTTTTTCTTCCCTGTATCAATGACAAAAAGGAATTATTACCACACAACACAGTAACATGCAGCTTATGGAGATTTTTTTTTTTTTTTTTTTTTTTTGCATATAGTTTCTCTTTGCACTCTCAGCGGTTTTACCGGTTGTGTCTAAATTATAATTAATGTAAGGCACTTCAAAATAATTTTTTCAAAAAGGAAAGAATGCAAATATATTACTTTTCAATGAGAGCAGTACCTTCTGAACGGACCAGATATTCACGTCCCTCTGATGGGTGCTTTCTCTCCTGCGCCTGTGCAGCCTGCACAGGCAGCCAGGGTATCGGGAAGGCGAGCGGTAGGCACGCACCCAGAGCGAGTCATACCACGTGTAATGGCCCAGGCCCTGTTCACCTGGTGTGCATTGTACCTGGTAGGGCCAGAACCACCAGCACAGCAACCTGCCTGATAAGCCACCTCTGCCCTGGGAAATGACTTTGATAAGCATTCAGGGAGCTTGTTTTAATTTCAAGTCATTCTCACAACATTAGTGTCTTCACATTTGCCTCATAACTTAGAACCATTGCGAGAGGCAATTTCCAGGCCTTTGGTAGAAAACTCAAAAGACATCTTTGTATTAGCCCCAGCCAAGGGCGTCTCTCAGTCATGCGGCAACAATTGTCCAGTGCCACTGGGGGCTTTTTTCCAGCTACTGTTCTGCTTGTCCCATGAATCAGTGACCAAGCAAAATGAGCCTGTGTTCTTATCATCTTAGCAATGTCAGCTGCTCCAGATATCCTCAAATGTAAAGCGCTGTCAGGCCTTGTAATAGCTACGCTTTCTAGTTCTTAATTGATGCTTTGATATCTTGGAGTCTTGCTGACTCTGAAGGGACTGCCCCTCGGAGGTTAGCCAGTTCCTCGAGACAGCAACAGACTGGCTTGCAAGTGAACCTTTTTGTTCACAAGCCATCCGATCCAGGGCCCGTCCCCTCCACCGCCTCCTTTACCGGGCTTTCACACTCAGGGCCGCTATTCCCCTTCCCAAATCACCCACGGGCCAGGTCTCAGACCACAAGGAAGTTCCCGTGCCCCAGAGCCCACCAAAATCATTCCAACCAGCCAGTCCTAAACCCGTTTGCCTGGCCTTGTCTACCCCTCCCACGGGGTCCACAACAAAGACTTTTGCCCAGTTTTCCCTCGCGGTCTCTCCCCTGACCAGCCCTGCCGCTCATGAGGGGCTCATGCCCCTCTCTTGAGAACTGGGAGTAACCAACTGGCTTTTCAATGACAACTGTCTTCTAATCTGTTGCTCTCACCAATGGTGAATAAAAATAAAGCCTTCATTTTAAAATACTCCTAAAATAATGAAAAGGGTGGATAAAATCAAGCTCATACGGTTAGATTCCTTGGTGGGCCGCTGTTTTCTTTTCTTAAATCTACCAGATCCTTTCCTCTGGATGGCACAGAATTCAGTATATAAAAGAGATTTCAGAGCTTTCAGTAGTGGCAGATTATGACATGCTGCCTGGTAGAAGTTTCCATATTTGCTTCTGGATATTTGCAAAGGCTCCTTCCACCTCTCAAGCGCCACGGGGCTTCAGGTGCTACTTGCTGCATGCCCCCGTTAGTCGTACAAGCCCCCTGCTGCAGAGTCTTAGAATCTGGCTGTGGGAGGCCGAATCAGCACAGTCATTCCCTTACTGCTCTTGATTGCAGTGGTAATTTCTTATGAAGTTGGGCAGGTTTCCACATAAATTCCTGGGATTTTGTTTCCAAACTGGCCTTTTTGGACTTGAATGAACTTTAAAAAGGTAATTCTTCTTAAAGAGTTTGCAGCTTAATGGAATGGCTTTACCTAATTTCCAAGTACGGTGTACATCCTCGCATAAGCCTTCCAATTAAGAAGTTTACATTGGAATGTCCATTCAGAGAGGTCTTGGGACTCTTTCTTCCACGTATTCCTTTCAGCACAGTTGTAGAAGTTGAGTCAGGTGATCCTGGGCCTCTTTGCTCTAAAGGGAGAGGACAGAAAAGTTTCCCTCACCCAACTACAGAGCAAGGTGCTACAAGGTTTATAAATAAGGTACATGGCACACTGGATGTGCATGCGCCAAAGAGACTGGCTTAGCCACCAAAGCAAACAGGCTGGAGATGGAGAGAGTTCAGGACAGAATGAATGGGTACATTCTAATACTCTCCAAATATTTAGGTGATGAGATAGTTTGTTTTAAAGAAATAGTAATTCACGGGAGTCTGTACACCCCTGCAGAGAAATAGCCTTGAAACCCAACTCTGCCTTTTCACCTGTGATCCATTAATTGTTACTTTTGTATCAAATCAAGTCCCATTAATACTTGGGGGATACTGAACAGATGTGATGTTATTTGCATTGAAGAATTATGTTGTAACTAAAAACATGATATTTAATTTCTCATATTGGGATCTATCAGAGCCCTAATTTTTATGACCCGTCATGCCTTCTGTGTGGCTTATCAGCCAAATAACACAAATCTTGGTTTGTAAACACTTGACTAAATAATTCTCCATCCCATTTGGTGATGCTTTTCATTTTTACACAAACTAGCAAATAAATGTCAACTACAACATACGAGAAAAAAGTGGTCTGAATGAATAGCTTGTATTGTTTTGATATGTAAGTGAAAGTAAATATATAGGAAAGGGGAAGAACTATTTTCCCCATGGGTAAGGGCGGGGAAGGAACACAGATTTAGTGTTTTATAATTTTGATGTGACCTATGGGTGTTTTGTTTATTGTTTGATTTCTGCCGTGCTCAGTAATTATATTCCCTTCCCTTAGGCCTCCAAATGTTCCCCCTAAGCCCCAGAAACACAGGAAGTCCAGACCCCGCTCACAGTATAATGCTAAGTTGTTTAATGGGGATTTGGAAACATTCGTCAAGGTACTGGCACCAGCCATCTGGGTGGCTGATCTCCATGCTTCTTACTATAATGGTCTCAGCCTCGCATAAAAGGAGGCAGGTCATTATGTCCAAGTCTGTCCTGGGGCTCTTTGCTTTCCCAGAAAATCAATATAATATTTCCTGAAGTCAGAGAGAAAACAATATTTGGTTTGAGTACTTTTAGTAGAGGAAATAAATGTGGGTATTATTATGCTGGCAAAAGAGAAAGCCCTCTTTATTTAAAAAAGAAAAAAGGCATAATTTGTACAAAAAGGAAAAGAGCTACCTGATAAAATGTTTTCGTTTTACTCATGCATATGAGATGGCACAAAATGTATTATTAAAGTTCATTGTTAGGGTAGCTCTCAAGTTCAGCACGAGTTTTTATTTCCCTTGACTTGAGGAATTCATTATATTGGATAAATTGTAAGACCTTGTGGCCTATATCTTGTATCTCTGCTGTGTTTACTCTGTCTTCTTTTTCATCCTGCATTTCTATAACGCTTCTAGCCGAGGACGAAGGAACTCGCACGCAAGACATCAGGTATAGTGCTAGAGACAAGCGAGGACACAGCCTCTTTTGCTCTTGGTGTCATTTTCAAATCAGAGTCATGCTTGGCTTTAATTAGGTTTTTTTAAGGTCTTTAAAAGAAAAATGTTTGCAGTTGAAAATCAGACAGGCTTATAAATAGGCTTTACTTAAAAAGGAATTACAGAAATCAAACACTGATTTAAGAAGAATAGTCTTCTCTAGTAAAACTGGATAAACTTGTAGTTTTTATATTATGTGTTTGGCAAATGGACCAAATTTGAGTCACGAGCTTTTATTAAGGTAAGTCAGTGTTAAATACCAAGTGCACATTTAATACTGGATTATGTACCCTCATATAAAATATGCCAAACAGAAAAGAAAAGAACTGGGTCTTTCATAGCTAACATCTTATGACACAGGCTGCGGTGTTTCTGAAGACTAAATTTACATAGGAAACTACATCATTGATAATCTCCCTTAATAATATGGTACAGATATCTTACTTTAAAAAAAATTATTATTTTTTTTTTTTTTTAGATTTTTAAAATTTATTTTTAGATAGAGGGGAAGGGAAGGAGAAAGAGAGGGAGAGAAACACCAATGTGTGGATGCCTCTCGTGCGCCCCCTACTGGGGACCTGGCCCACAACCCAGGCGTGTGCCCTGACTGGGAATCGAACTGGTGATATTTTGGTTCACAGGCAAGCGCTCATTACACTGAACCACACCAGCCAGGGCTTACTTTCTTAATAGTATATTATAGATAGCTTACTTTCTTTAAAGACAGATCTTTTATTGAATGGGTAAACTAATGGTTGTAAAACGTGCGTGCACGCTTGTGTGGCGTGTGTAGGGACAGACAGATTCACACATGCATAGAGAGACTGACTACTTCTCATGGCCTTAAAAATGGGCCCTAACCCTGGAATTAAGTGAAAGGTCACTGGACAACCTAAATAGCCATCACAAGTCCACTGCCAAAAGCCTTAAACTCAGAAGAGCCTTCTTGGCTCTAATTTCATATAAAATTATTGTCAAATTTGATTACCTAGTTTCCCAACCCAGGGCTTGTAAGCAGGGGTAAATTAGCTGGAGAGAAGGGAACAGTAAAACGGAAGCACTGAGATGAGCAGCCGAAAAGGCCTGGCAGAGAAAGAGACTGTAGAAGAGCCCAGAAAAGCAGATGGATTGTTCTGTTGTATCTGATAACATAGTGTGAGAATGACTGCTCAAGATAAAAGAAAAGCATATATTATATTTTTAAAAGATTTTTTTATTAAGAACAGTTAAACTGGATTTAGACACTAAAGAAAGAGTAAACCAGTTATCGCGGGAAAATCACTGATGTGAACCCTTCACTCTCCTAGATGGCACATTAAAGAATCTTTGGTAATAGCAATAACAGCAGATACAGAGATCTCTATACTTCTAAGAAGTGCTCAGTCAGTCAAGGTCCCCACAATGTCACTGTGAGACAGAAGAGCAAAAACCATCTTTCCTTTTTCCTGTGGGGAAACTGAGACACAAAGGGATTTCTTTGAATGGTAGGTGGAACACTGTTCATTGTTCCACTTCTTGTAAAATATTCTACCAAAGCTCCTGGCATCCATAAAATTTAAGTAAACACACACACGTTTTGTTTTTTTTTTTACTCTATGATTCATCATATCTGAATGAAATACTGATAATAGCTAAAAGATTAGCAATTACTTGAGTAAATGTAAAGACAAAAATATTTTTAAGTAATATGCAAACATGAGACATCTTTTGAACTATTTTAGTGCAAACATTTTCCTTTTAATAACCTTTATTGTTTATTTTTCTTTGTATTTTAACACTAAGTTTAGCAAAGATGCAAACTAATATTCTCCTTTCATCACTTATATTTAAATATTTGTTGCTCTTTTACAATGGTACATGCATTGTTCATCTAAAGGTTACTTCCCCTAAAATACACTTGTATCTTAAAGAAAAATCCCCTCACATATTCAGTAGGTTTTGCTATAATTACATTGTCATTGTTGTGTCAGCTAGTCCACACTAAAGAGAGTTTTTATTCTTAAGGAACTTCTTTAAGAAATTAATAAAGTTTACATTTCTAAAACAAGTTAACTATTAGAGAAACTTAATATAGGCTCCAGAAGTAATTGAACCATTAACTGGTTTATAGACTGATTAGATTGTCTTGAAACCTAAAATAAAACTCTTCCTCAAGTAGTGTATTACCCATTCTAGGAATAATAAAGAGTTTAAATTGCTGAACCACATTATTCCCAGTCTTTACTCTGTGGCTTAATTAGAAAGGTTAGTGGATTCTGAATTGTTCTAATATGTTAAGGCAACCAAATTCTCCTTGTGTTTCAGAGTAAAATTCCTCATGAATTAGTACCTATGTCAGCTAATCATTTGGAACCTCCATGTTTCCTTTAAAATCTAATTTCTGAAAGAGCAGAGTCTAAAAGTACATGAAAAATAACTCCGTAGTCAGTAACCTTCTTTAGCTACACAGAGTGCATGGCATTTAACTGTGACCTTCGCAACTCCTTTGTCTCATTTGTCATCCTATACATGTTTTAAAGCATTTCTAGTATTCACATTTGTTCAGTATAGTGCTCTGACTATATTACAAGATACGAGAGAAAATGGCAAAAAATGTCATTCCTAAGAAAACGAGACTTCCTGGGATGTGCATTTGTGCCATTTTTAAAGTCTGTAAAACATGAAAAAATAACAATGAAAAATCTGTAAGGATAAGTAAGTTCTGGTGCAAATTAAATACATAACACATTATAAGCATCTGTAAAGCTGTTTTCATATCATGCACCTGGAAACATGAAAACCTCTCAGGGACCTCACCGAGAGGGTGCTGAGGTGGCTGTAAGGCTGTGTTTGGTGACTAGTGTGGCCAATCAGTCCTAAGATGCTGTGGTCAGAATACACAGTTCTTTTTAGGTCCATTAGGTTAATTGTATAAATAAGCTTTTAAAAAATGAGTGATTCATATGTTCATTTTGATATGTGTGCCTAATGTAAGTAAAAGAGATGAATTAGCTTTGCCATCTCTAGGCACAGCCGAGTTAAGTTAAATCAGGATTGTTTTAAATGTATTTAACTTGGTTTGCTCCAGAACTGCAGTATACCTTTGGTTAAATATAATTTTATATTTGGCCCTTGTGGAATATAGGGAGGGGGGGCGTATTTGGAAACAGTCATCTGAAAGATGAGCAGTGCCTGCACTCCATGTAGTTAAACCATGAGCTTTATTATTAGGTGTGATTTATGCCTCTCCCTTGCAGCTAACTAACTGGCTTCTATCTCTTTGCCCAGGACTCAGGGCAGGTTATCCCCCTCATTGTGGAAAGTTGTATTCGGTTCATCAATCTCTACGGTAAGCCATAAACTATGAAATTCTTATTTTAATAAATAATCGCCAGGAATATTTCAGTAAATGTGTCTTTCCTTTTAACATTTAATTCTTGAGAAAGGGGGGAACCTAGAGGATGTAACGGATCTCTTACCCTCTCTTCCTTCTGTTCTCCTTAGGTCTTCAGCATCAGGGGATTTTCAGAGTGTCTGGTTCCCAGGTGGAAGTCAGTGACATTAAAAACTCATTTGAGAGAGGTAATTGCATGTCTGTACCTTTAAGCAAGTCATGTAAAAAGTCATCCTTTTCTGTAGAGTCGAGTGGCATACTCATTCTGTATATCTTCAAAACCTTTCTCTTGGCATTTATTTTATTTTGGATAGTGAGGTAAGAATCTAATTAGAATAGTCAAGAAATGAAGCCAAAATCGTGTGTCTTCATTATCAAGTATAGGAAAGCGCATGAGGTTTGTGTCTTGGGTTAGAAATGGCAGCAATCACCCCTCAGTGTGTGTGTCCAAGGTGGCATAGGAAGGGTCCTAGAAGAATGGTAAGGACAGCTCTGGGCCTAGATAGCAGGTGTTTGAGGCAACTCATCCCAGCTTCATGTCTATTTCCTTTGTTAGGAACACTTTCCTTCCTCTTAGTCCCATGACCAGACTCCTTCCGTGACCAGTTGGTACCTTACCCTTATTCACAATTGGCCGTCACGTAAGTCCTACTGAACTGTTGATTAGCCTATTTTGATTAGCAAAACCATACACTTTTGAGTCAGGCAGACCTAGGATCCAGTCAGAGTCTCTCATTTACTAATCCTGTGATTTGGGTCAAGCTACTCATCTCTTCCTTTGACCTTGGTTTCCTCACCTGCAAAATTCCAGGATTGGTGTGAGGATTAGGTGTGACCCATGAAAATACCTAATTCTTTAGTGATGGCTCTTAGTTATTAATGCTCTCCAATTATAACGGTCTGGATATATCTGCACCTCCTTCCTCTGCGTGGAAGTCAAGCGGAGAGCGCAGGGCGGGAGGCATCATGGCATGGAGGCAGGGCTGCTTTCTCCCTCCCTTGGTCCCATTTCCTCTGGCCCAGGCTTGGCAGGGAGCCCTTGAAATGTTGAAACCTTGGTTGAAGAGTAAAATTGGAGCCAGACTGTTTTCCTGTTCCAAATTCTCAGGCCAATATGATGTGTAGAGCAGAGCAGCCTCCCCTGTCAGCAGCTAAGTGTTCCAAGGCTCTGACATCAACCACATCCAGGATAAGCGTGAAATGGCGTAAAGCCTCAGGTTCCCGTGCCAGCCACCACAGGCACTATTATTTTTCCTTGGAAATTCCCCTGATATTTGTTATTTGTTTGTGATCTTTTTGGGCGAGGTTTTGTCACATTGGGCAAAAAAGTATATATTTTGGTAAATTCGTGTTTAATGATTTCCCATCCTAGGAGCAGAGAAAAGAGACCAAACATGTCCTTGAAAATAAACTGCCTCGAGAGGGGGGAAAAAATTAAAATGCAGGGTACAATTGTTGTGAACTTCAGAAGAGAAGAGCAGTCTTGCGAATAAAAAAATGGAGTTGGATTTAAGGCTGCATAATATTACGTTGAACTTAAGGTTTTTATCTCAATTTCTCATGGAAGGGGACTAGCCAGGCCACTTACCTAATATTTGAAAACTGTTTACCATAAAGAAATAATGAAATTTCATATTTGAGATATAGTTTTAAAATTTCCACTCTCTATACCAATTCCTTGGTACAATTAATGGTACGTTTTCAAATTCCCCTGCTTGACTTCAGAATCTTCCACTGCTGAAGGCAGCTTTCAAATAGGCCATGAATACCACCCACCCACTTTGGGAAACACTTCTTAATTTAACTGTGGGTTTTCACAATCAGGTTAAGCCTATAATATATCTGATGCATTCTGCTGATCCATATAGAATAGCCACACAGACCTATATTGTGTCTTCTTCCCAGTAGGTTAAAAAATACAGAATGTAGTATTTGAAGTCTTGTCAAACTAAGATTAAAGATTTTAACTTCAAGAAAAAAAGTTGGGTAAAATTTTAAATACCACAATATTTTATTTTAAGATTTTGGTAACTTGTAAGGGATTATTTGGTAGCATAAGATTTTAAAAAAGCTTTATTTTAGTCAACTATTTTAAGTTAATCATGGGGTAGTATATCTAAACCGATTATTTTAATTTTAGTACCATATAATCTTTTATAAAGTATAATTAAAAGATACACATATATATAGAAATGTGTGTGTGCATGTGTGTATGTGGAGAAACATATTTTTGCTCAGAGGGCGAAAAAGAAACACTGTGTATATAACCTTGTTTTTTGTTTTTTTTTTTAGGTGAAAATCCTTTGGCTGATGACCAGAGTAACCATGATATTAACTCAGTTGCTGGTGTTTTGAAGCTCTATTTCCGTGGGCTGGAAAACCCCCTCTTTCCTAAGGAAAGATTTAATGATCTGATTTCTTGTATCAGTAAGTGAACTTTATTTTTTAGTTTCCCACCAGAACTGTTCCACTAACCAGTTCCCTGGAAAAGGCAGTGGCCCCTGTCCACACAGCCTCCCCACCCCCACCACTACCCCGCTACCACCAGATTTCTGAGACCATTTGTTTTCTTTCTGGATTCCGCATGAGTCATCCTCCCAGCTGTGGCCTCGCCCTTAGCTGAGTGGCCTTTCTCCTGAACTTGCTCAGGCTCCGTAGAGCCCAAGAGCTTCCCACTTAGTGTCTGAAAGAAAGCAGAAAGGCAGGTGCCAGCCAGCTAAGGGAGAGGAGGAAGTTATAACCATGGAAATAGAACTTCTTTTCAGCTTTTGGTTCTGATTTTCTCCACCAATCTTAGGAGTGGGGTAATTTATCCATCTTGAATGTTACTTCAAGAAATAAGGTAAACTGAGATAAATGATTGTTCTTGCAGTGCAGAAACACCAGGTGGTAATTATCTGTCAGTGGGCATCCCCAACTGATAGGCAGAGTTGCGCCGGGACTGTGGATGATATAGCATGAAACCAGTCATCATCAGTGGGGTGAAGCACTGCTGTTTCCTTCAGTGGGGGCTGTAGACACTACCGGAGGGAAAGTGAAATGAATGTCAGCAATTAGGTATTAACTGCAGTTTTATTCCGTACATCTAGAAATGCAGTGCCCCATTAAGTCCACTTTTCCAGGTAAGGGTCTAAAGCTGACTTACCTCACATGGTGAGGGCTTTCATAAGAATCAAGCTTTATTCTAGTAAGGAAACCTCCTACCCCACCTTTCCAACTTCACACCTAATCAAAAACTATTGACTTTGCCTCAAAAAAATCTCTACTCAGCCCTCCTTCCCCATTCTCACCACCATCTTCTCCCTGAAACCGCTGTTACGGTCTCTTACTTCGAGGTTTTGCCCTAGCTCGGCCCCCTCCACATCATTCCGTGCTTCATACTGCAGCTAGATTTGGAAAGACAGATGGGGTTATATCACTGTTTAAAACCTATCCCAATATTTCCCACCTGAAATCAACCTCCTTAGTATGGACAGTTCACAGAATAGGATTCTTCCTCTATCTGATCTCTTTCTTCTGCTGTACATTTATCTCCTGCCATCCCTGCCCAGTTGACATTACATTTCAGCAGTGGCAAACTGCAGGCTTGCTGGGCCATTTCCCACCTCCACACCTTTGACCACAGTTTCATCTGCAGTCATTTGACATCTGCTGTGAAGTCTGCAGCAGATGAAACAGCACAGGCAAAGGCTTGGAGGTGGGAAACAGTGTGCTTGCAGTTTGCTATTGTTGAACAATAAAGGAAACCAGGAAGGGGTGGCAGGAGATGAATGCACAGATGTGAAAAGGGATCAGATAGATCTCGTTTCTGTCTGATCTAAAGGAAGGAGTCTGCTCTGTGAACTGCTCCCCGCAGAATACCACCTCCCCAAAGCAGAATTCGTCATTTTCCTCTCTATTAATGTTCCCCTGTGAACCTATGTCTATAATTTTTCTTATCACCCTATATCACAGCTTTTTTTAACCCCACCATTTCCCTCTGCTACAGAGAGAGTTCGGGGAAAAGGTAAGAATATGGGCTCTGGACTCAGACAGCCCAGGAAGAAATCCTAGGTCCAAATTGCTCACCAGCTGTGTGACTTTAGGCAAGTTTCTTAATCTCTCTGCCCCTCAGTTTCTCCTCACCTATAGAACAAGGAGAACGTTAGGTCATGTATCAATAGGGTTGTGAGAATTAAATGAGTTAATACATATAAACTGCCAAGAAAAGTGCCCGGCAGTTTGTTCAATGAAATGCCTGTAGTTAAGCTCCATAGACCCATGGGGTCTTGATGGATTTTTCAGTGTTGTCATTTCAACACTTGGCACAGTTAAACTCGAGGCACATAGTAAGTGCGTAATTCATAGTTGTTAAATGAAATGTAAATGAAGAGTCAAAATTCCACAAAATTTTTTTTGTTGGCATCCATACTGAAAGCCCTGGCTCTCATTGGGTATAAATTCCCCAGTCAGGATTACCGCCACCCCCTCCCCATACAGTCTGATGTCTTGTGTGGAATTCAGAAGTGTGTCTGTGTGTCCATTCCAAGGCCCTTGCATAGTCTGAGTCATCTCAGTGGGCCTCTGACCCAGCTGGAATGAACTGAAAAGGAGGTGTCACACTTCTGGAATTCTCTTCTGGCCATGTCCAAAGATTTCCCTCACATCCCAGCCAGAAAGCTGAAATCTGGAAAAATAATAAGCACTATACAATGCTTAGAGGTTTTCTAGGTACATACATCATATCAATGCTTATACATGTACCAGTTGGATAAAGAACATTGGGCTACATTGTCAGTTACTATTATAAAATCATTTCACATTTTTGTTGGATGAGAAATATTATTTCATTGTGGTTATTAAAAGATGAAGCCATTGAGCCAGAAATATCTAGGTTCAAATCCTAACTTAACCACTTAACAGCTTTGTAATCTTGGACAGAGACTAATATCTATTTATATCTTATTAAATGTCTGTTTCTTTATCTACCTCATAGAGTCTGTGTGAAGAATAAATGAGACAATCCATGCCTGGCACTTAGTAAGCCTCAATAAGTGTTACTAGCTGTCATCATTACAACTATTACAACTACTCCTACTATAAACTTGGGTCACATATGCCAATACCTAGGTTAGCCACTTACCAGTTTGTCTGTTATGCTAAACATATGGGTTGGTTTGTTTGTTTTTGTGTGTGTTTTTTTAACATAAACACTTCTCATGCATTTGGAAATGATGTTCCATCCAAAAGTTGTATTGGTTCCAGCATGACTTTGCCCAACATATTAAATGTTTTGTAACAATCAAAGACAAGTTTCCCACAATTAAAGAGTTAGGCTTAGCGAACTATGAAGACTTAAGGGAAAAATGGGAAATCTCCAAAAATACCTTTCTTTCATGCAAGCAGTTCCTTACACGAAATGCTGCAAGTGCCAACAAAGAAGCCTGAACGACATTTAGCCCTGTGTTAATTAAAACGATGGAAGGAATTAATGAAAATCAATGGATTAATAATCTTTGGGTTAAATTTTATGAAAATAGTCTCCATTGGGAACAAAAACCCTTCAGGACCTTCGTATCAAAGAAGCAGGAGCCCCGGGGTTTAAGGTTGCTAAGGATGCTACGTGCACCCACCAGTAGAGATTTAACTGTGCTAGTAATTTAAGTATTGTTAATGTTTTTGTTAGTGCTCTAGTTATAAACTTTATAGGTGTTAAGCAGTCTGTCCCAACCCTACTTTTATGTATAAGTTCTGTTATTTTTAGTACCCAGTTTTGCAGAATAGGATAGTTTCAAAAACATGTGATGGCATTGTATATAACAACCCCTTTTCTTCCAAAATCTAATCTCTTAAAAAGAGGGCCTCTCTAGCTATTACTGATTCATCTTTAGGTAAGCATTTTTTCTTACCAATGTGACCATGATGTATCTTTGGTTTTCCTGGATTTTCAATAAAATCTTCAAGAATGGTATAATATGTCCATCATTACATTCTCTCATTGATACTACATATTTTTTATAATTTGAATGATTGATTAATCGCCTACAATATGCAAAACTTTCTAGAGTCAAAGACTTGATTTTTGCATTCAAGAGGCTAAAAATCTAGTAGGGGAGATAAGATACTTACAAATAAGTGCAATGTAAGTTAGTATGTGATAGAGGCACAAAGATTTAGAAATTCTAGGGGAGAGAGCTCTTGTGGAGATCAATTGTTTCCATTCGTGTCATATTCTCCTGGAATTGCCATAATTGCATGTGACTTTCCCTAATAAGGTAATTACATGTGACAGTTATTTTGTATAGAAAAATCCTCCTCTTTCATCTTTTCCAAGAATTTACATAAGCCTCTGGAACACCTCTGAGTTTTTGTTTACCTATATTTGGATTGTTTGGAGAAAGATTTTTTTTTTTTATGAGGTGTTGTTATCATGCCATTTTTATGCCCCCAAAAAACATATTCTCTGAAAGCTGTCAATGTGTGTATTGATAAGAAAAGACAATTTGTCTTAACATTTTCTTTTTCTTTCAATGTGCACTACTCATTTCCCAATTCACTGCAAATTTCTTTAAAAATTGCTTATCTGAAGACCTCGTGATCTCAAGTGCAGTCTAAATTTGAAGCAACAAAGTTGGTAGCGTCTCAGTTTCTCACCCAAGGGTTGATTTTTTTTTTTTTTAAACCATCCACCTTGTGAATGTTTTTGTTAATGGTTATGCCCACACAGTCTGGGCAGCTTCTAGAATGTCTGTGTATTGGGGCTCTGAGATTCCCTAGGGCAGAAGTCCAAGTGACTTGCTTTAGAAGAGCTACTCAAGCAATTCATGGTCTCTCCTGGCTGTCTCAGGGCTGAGAGCCCGGCTGAAACATTGGCACTTTACTTTACATCATGTGGTGGTGTTTAGGTGACTTCTCTGGGCATGCAGAAACATTTTCAGAGGGCATTTTTTTTTTTACCTATCACAAAATCAACATCATCATTGTAGAAAATTTGAAAAATACACAAAAAAAGCACATAGATGAAAATACTGTCATGCGTAATGCCACTTCCCGAAGAGAATCATTGTTGTGTATGCACTCGGTTAGATTTCCTTGTGCTCTTTCTCTATTCATGTGCACTTCTCAATTCTTTTTTAAAACCAAAGTAGAACTGTACTGTCCATTGTGTTCAGAATCAACCTTCTTTTGGACTTTTTTATTATAGAGAATTTCAAACATTTACAAAATGATACAGAAAAATATAATGAACCCCAGTATAAATAGTTACCTAGATTTAACAACTTTCATTTTTTGGACAAAATTATCCCACCTATACCCCTTCCTTCATCCCTCTGACATCATATCACTTCACCTGTATGTATATATCTCTGGGGGAATGGAGATTCTTTTCTTTCTTTTTTATGTATGTACAACATAGCCACAATACCATTATCACACCTGAAAAATAA